GATCAGAAACAAAAGGCTAAAAGATATGACGCTGGAAGATGGGCCCCTCAGGTCAGAAGGCGTCCAACATGCTACTGAGGAAGAGCGGAGAACAAGTACAAGTAGCTCCAGAGATAATGAAGTGGTTGGGCCAAAGCTGAAAGGACGCTCAGCTCTGGACCTGCCTGGAAGTGAAAGGAAAGTCCGATGCTGCAAAGAAAAATACTGCATAGGAACCTGGAATGTAAGATCTATGAACCTTGGGAAGCTGGATATGGTCAAACAGGAGATTGCAAGAATAAACATTGACATCCTGGGCGTCAGTGAACTAAAATGGATAGGAATGGGCGAATTCAATTCAGATAATTATCATATCTACTATTGTGGGCAAGAATCCCGTAGAAGGAATGGAGTAGCCCTCATAGTTAAGAAAAGAGTGGGAAAAGCTGTAATGGGATATAATCTCAAAAATGATAGAATGATGTCAATACGAATCCAAGGCAGACCTTTCAACATCACAGTCATTCAAGTTTCTGCACCAACCACCAATGCTGAGGAGACTGAAATTGACCAATTTTATGAAGATTTACAACACCTTTTAGAACTGACACGAAAGAAAGATGTTCTTCTCATTATAGTGGATTGGAATGCTAAAGTGGGGAGTCAAGAGATAAAAGGGACAACATCAAAGTTTGGCCTTGGAGTTCAAAACGAAGCAGGGCAGTGGCTAATAGAGTTTTGTCAAGAGAACAAGGTGCTCATCACAAACACTCTTTTCCAACAACACAAGAGGCGACTCTATAGATGGAAATCACCAGATGGGCAATACCGCATTCAGATTAATTATACAGTATTCTCTGCAGCCAAAGCTATAGACTTCCTAACAAAAATTAGATTTGGAATGTAGTCTCTCTGCCACTGTTAAATGAACTGGGTAGTTTAGGATCATGTATAAAGCACATTGAATGGAATTCTCCCCATTTTATAATAGCTTTGCAAATTTCTTCATCATGTTTAAAGTTTCAAATGTTGCTATGACTGTTGAAATTTCCAACTAGAGTGTGTGTTTTTCCCCAATATTAGGTGACTTATTGAAGAAAAATGATATTTTAGTTAGTTTATAAATTGATGTTATTATACACACAGCCAGTTCAACTGTCAAGATTTCTATGTCCTCTTCAATAATACCCATTGAGTGGACTTTAATACCTGATGTTACAGAAATGGCACTTCCATATTGGTTGTGGGATTTGTTTTGTTTTGTTTTTAGTTTATTGAACACAAAGGATATCATATTTGAGTTTGTGTCAAAGTGAAACTTAAGAGTCCTTCTTCAGAGGAAGAGATGTTCTCTGTATTAATAATGTAGAAAGTATTGTTTTGGGTGGTTCTTTGGGTCATTTTGCTCATCAGCAAGTTTGAAGTGCGATGCTTCTGGAAGTGAAGGATTGGCCAGCTTCACGCCATTGCCCAGGGGATGGCCAAGTGCATTCACAATGCTTTTCCACGCTTCAGGGAGCCTCCTATATCCTCCATTTAGAATGCTGTGCTCCAAGTATGCTTCTGAGCATATAAAGTTCCATGCTGCTTGCTCAATTATACCAAAAGAAAGTCAACTTCCAAGAAAAGCAAGCTAAAAGAGTAGACCTTTGATCTACATGGGCGGGGTAGAAATCCAATTTAAAGAAATAAATAAAAGTAATTGAAATGTTTTGAAAAGGAATGTTATTGAAGCAGTCCTCCTTCATTTCTGTGGGTTAGATAGCAAGGGAAAAGGGACTAGGAAATTCTTATCTGAAATAGTTGTTTTTATGTTCTTGATTTTTTTCCCCTTTTAATTTTGGAAGAAGGCAAAGTGTTCAATTACTTTGTACATTTCAAAAACTAAAGTTATGTTAAAACACATGGTTATGTGAGGGGAACATGCAGAAATGTATGTGATTTGCTTACAAGCTGCTCATTTGGACAACGTTTTGTAGATTGCTGTGGTGTTTTTTTACCCACCTATTTCTACTGACTCCCCCAAAATTACAGCTCTAAACCTAGGAAGGTTTTTCATATGCTACTGTACATTGACATTTTACTTAGAACTCTCCCATCTTGTCAAGTGTATTTTTGTAAAAACACAGCAACAATGCAGTGAATGTTTTTCTTTGCTCACCTACAACTATCTACACATATCTTAGTTATGTTTAGAGATAGGATTGTTTTTAGTTACAACCAGACTGCTTTGCCAGTCCTCCATAAAACAGACTATAGTTACTTACTAGATCAAGTTACCAAAAATATGATTTTGCAGTATGTCATGACATCTCCTTTAGCACAAAAAAGCTGTAGAATAAATTTCATATTTCTTAAAATCTTGTAATATGTCTAGGATTAATATTACTCTTTGGTGTATTCTAAAAAATAGTGGAAGGTGTTCAGAATTACATGTATTTTGCCCTGTATTCCAAAAAAAAGACATCTCCACAAAAATGACTTTAGCATCTCTAAACTTATGCTTTTATAGAAATAGAAATGTATAATATTTATTGCAATAAAAATGTCACATAGATTGTGTGGGTTTTATTTTTGCTTCTTTTTCACCTTTGTTCTCTGTACCACTTTCTTGTGGTTTTTGAATCTACTTTTCATGTGTTCACTGTGTTATTGCTAACACTGACACAGCTTTTCTTGTGTCTTGACTCTGACATTTTTTCCATCTAAACTGGCCTTCCACTTTCTTCACATCTATTGCTTGTCCATTTTCTTTTATTTCCTCCTGGGCAGTTAATATGCCAGGACATTCAGTTACATTAAAATAGCACACAATGACAAGGAGATTTCGGCATGTGAGAGTTAGCAGCCAGTTTTTAGCTTTTTATATGAAATCACAATCTTAGGAAAACCTGTGTTATTTAACACCGAGATATTCTGCCTAAATGCATTTACTCATGCACTAAATAATAATATTCCTATCTTTTATAGCTCTCAAGAAGTCAACAAATGAAATGACTGCAGTTAAAAAGAAGTGTGAAGACCTTAGGAAAGAATATGATCACCTTACAAAAGAACACAAAAGAATGCTGGTAGGTGGCAGAGGCAGTTAATTTACTCAAGCAGAACTTCCTGAAATTAGAGTAGCAATGTTTCGTGTGTGTGCGCGTGTGTGTACATTGAATCTAAAAAGAATTTATCAAACAATAATCCTCAGTTCTGTGTATGTTTGGACATATTCTTTCAGAATAATGAGAATACTTAACTCCTAAACCTTCTCAGAGCAGTTGTTGGCATGGAGCCTACTTTGTATAAAATTAGAACTGAATGATTTGATGAACATGATGTTCTTAGAATAGTAATGTGGGGGTGGAAAAGATGGAAACTCAGAAAGGGTTTTTTTCCCCCTATGAAAAAAGATTTCAAGTTTTATTTTTCTTTTTGTTCCTTTTTTAAGAAATGGTTAAGGGGCATTGCGACATGAGAAAATCTGTCTTGATGGCTGATCACTCTTATGTGAAATGTGGAAGTTATTCAGAGGACAGATTGTAGCAGCAATGAATTTTCATCTTGCTGTTGTATATAGATATATGTTACTAGTTTGCACCTGATGACTAGCTGAAGACCAAAACATGTTGGCACCTGAAATAGAATACCGGATTAGTAATAAAAAATTTAGGAAGAGAGTAATCCTAAATGTGTTGGGATGGGCAGACAAAGTGGCAAAACTGTCTAGTGAATTGCAAGTTGACTTGAAATAGTCCATTTCACAGCTGTCACCAGCGGGAGATTTATAGCCACGTAACTTCCCATAAAAACATAACTGGAGCTTCTGAAGATGTTTATGGCCCTGGCAGGAGAGGACTACCTGTACTGCATCTTAGTCGCCACTAACTAGTGTACTTGACAATAGGATTGCTCAGTCCTATGGAATATAGGATGACTGGGTCTTTAGTACTATTTGCGTTTACCATCCCTCAGCATGCTATTTTTTGTGTTCCTTTTTAATATTGGTATATTCATTGTTTTAGTTCTAAATATATCTTTTAATGATGTAAACCACCATTGTATATTCATTGTTGTCAGATTTAATATTGTCTTTCAGTGCTTTAAGCTGCCTTGAGTCCTTTTAAAGGAGAAAGGCAGGGTAAAAATATTTTAAATAAATGAATTTCACAATTTTCTTTTCCTTAATGGCGTTCCCATATTCGCTACCTCAGACAGGTGCCTTCCACTGCCTAATATTAGCTCTGTTCCCAGTTTCTGTATCGGATCATCCCCATCAATTAATTCTTTGGTTGCGTTTTCCACAGATTAGAAAAATAGTTGAATTTTTTTTTAAAAGAGTGATTTGTCATGTACGGCCAAAATTCATGGCACATTTACCTTTCAGCCAAAAGCCTGAAAATATCAGTCAGGTAATGAACATATTACCTTTTGGAATAGTGTACTATCTACAGAGGGTGGTTTTTTTGTTTTTGTTTTTTTGCTTCATACTGAATGCTTAAAGACTGTAACTCCTGTCTTTGCTGCTACATTTTGTTTTCTGGGGCTTACTGCTCCCTAATTATAGTTGTACCAAGTTCCTGGATTTTTCCATTGTTTCCAATGAGTAGCTTTCATCTCTGAATTGGAGGTGAAAGAGGGAATACAGAGGATCCAGATGCTTGGCAAACAGTACAGATCTATCAGCCAAGGTGGCTGTTTGTTTGAGAAGATAGCATGTTAAAGTGCTGGTTGGGTGGAGCAAAGTAAATAGAATGGGAGTGGGCAGAAGAATCGATCTCTTCCATAGTCCTGGAAAAAGCAGTTTTTGGAAATGGGGCACTCCATTGGATCCACCAACCTTACTGAGGACTATACTGCTACTGGTGCCAATGCTGTAGTAGAATACAGCCGGGGAAGGGTTTTGGAGGGAAGACTATCCCTTCACCTTTCCACAACTTCCATTCTCCTGAACAGGGAGCCTTGCAAGGCTCCTGTTCCAGACAGGTAGGCTCCTTTGGGGCCCAGAGACAAATCTGACATTTTATTGCAGACCATCCTTCTCTGTTTCTCATTCTAACAGAGCTTGATTGAGGGATTTCCAGTTAGATGCCCTTACCTTACAGAATCTCATTAAAGAAAGTTTTTTAGTAAATGCCTCTTTTCTGACTTGATGGTTTCTTCAGAAGCACTGCTCTTCTTTTACATTGCTATGGGTGTGGATTGAGTGAATACTGTGTAGACATAAAGGATTATGGTCATTCTGAGATCAGTTACAATATCTAAAGATACCTTTACTCCTTTTTTTCCTCATATGTTTATATTCTTACCTTTACAGGGCTGTGCAAGTGAAAAGCATAATAAGAAAACTCTATAAGTGTCTTACAAGGAGACTGACTTTAAATAAATCTGCATCAGCACGAATTGCCTGTTGTCATCTTTATTCTTCAAAACAGTGATGGCGGATAATTTTTAAAAATATTTCAAAGGACACATATTGCATTCACTACTGCAAATGCTAGATAGTTGTTGGTTGCCAAAATACTGTATTTATTTAGCAATGAAAATAGTGGGATATAGTCTTGTTGAATGAAGGCCCAGTGGAATTTTTACCTCTTATTAATTTTAAAAATTCTCTTTGTATATAATCTCCCACATACTGCAGATCTCCATGGCATATTAAATACTCCATTCATTTAATTACAAATTTGGCAGATCATAGTGGAGTTTTGTTTAAAAAACCTGTTTCATACCTCCCTTGTGTGAGCTGAACTGTTTGTGTGGTCCTTTGGACCCAAACTAGTAGTGATGTATCGGAAGTACATTGTAAATTTTTTTATCCTACAAGGAACATGAGAAAACATATTAAATAGAAATGTCCATTTAGAGTAACTATTCAGCTCCTATGAAGAACACTGAAAAGTAAGGAAAGAAAAAGATAGGGGAAAACAGACCACCTTTTGCTGATAATGCAGAATAAGCTTTATAAATTATATCATAACATGACATTATCATGCAGTAACCCATCACACTAATGATTTTTAGCAATACGATTAAACTTGGTTGCTGAAAGAATTATGGTGGAGTGCAGCGTACTCATACACATTAAATAATTTTACAATTGGTAAAAGTTTTAAGATACTGCTTAAGGCCACTTCATGTTTAATTTTGCAGATTCATATAATTTTGAGTTTTCTTTTCCCTTGCTTTGAGATGTTATTATAGTCCATGTGTTTTCTTCACATTGTGTTCAAGAACTTGCCTGTGATGTGTTTTATTATGGTTTCTTTGTGCAGTGGATACTTGTGAAAAAACAATTCTGTGCAACTTACAAAGCAGTTTTCTTGGTGAATAATTATACAGTACTCACATAAACAGGGAACTGGAATCTAGAAGAGATGTCTTATCAGAGAACGAGGATAAGACAGCAATTTTCCAGCTCTTTGCTTCCCCCATTGCTGCTTCCCACACTATTCTGCAAGGTCTCTAAACTATCCAGATTAGTTTTTCAGGGGCCCATCAGGCTGCAGTCGAGAGAATCAGTCAGGGAAAATTATTGCCCAATCTCCTTTCTCCATTGTCTGAGGAACTGCTGAGTACAGGTCTGGCTCCCAAGCCATTGATTTTTCTTAAAATCTTCATTATTTACTGCTGAATTGTTAACTTCTTGTGTTCACCTTGATGGTCAGTTGTTAATAAATATATTGTTTGTAATTTGGTTTCCTGTATATGTGGCTTGTACTATTCAGAATGTATGAACAGAAATTACAGCATTCACTGAAGTAATTAAATTGTAATTGTTTGGGATTAAAACTTGCTGGGTATAAAATTTAGAACAGCTCATCTGCTCATAGTATGCCATGTAAGAAAGAAACTGGTATTTTTAAATAAATATTCAAATATTTTGAACATGGTTTCTAAATGTTTATATCAAAAGTGAATGTCCAGAGTTTCATGTTTCTGAACTTATTGCAGGAAATTACTGTTTCAATGAATTCAAGAACTTAAATTTTCATTTGCTTTTCAGGCTGTAAAGAGAAAGCTGAGTCCTTTGCTCCACTTTTGAAAACTTACACCTAGATGTTTGCTAGTTACATAAAATATAGCACACCTGTAAACTGATGTTGCATGCTTTGAAGCACTGTACTGATCAGCACATTTATTCTGTTAAAAATATTGATCAATTTAGGAAGACTAAGAAATGGCTTTGAGTTGCATCCAAATATAGTCATACCTGGAGTAAACCCGTTTAAAATAATGGGATGAGGTCATGATTGACCATTGATTTAATTTTGTCTACTCCAGATATGAGATTGGGTGGATCCAGAACCCTTCTGTTCCTATGAGCCATTTGATACAATGCACCTCTGCATTGTATCAAATAATACAATGAGTTCTGAAAAATAATATGTTGTAGACAGAGGTTACAGTTATAGGTCTTTAAGCCTGCCTGTTGTGACCTTTGCTGGCAATGGCACTACTTGGTCATTAAAATGCATCTTAAGAAACTCACTTTTTGCACCTGTAGGATGTCAGCAGTTTTCAGGTTCTTGGTTTATAGTATTTAGCTGACTTCTGGATTGAAAGTAAGGGTGCAATCAGGCAGCGATTTAGCTCAGGTTTTGGACCACTTATGGCACAATCTGATTTCAGCTGTTTCCTGGTGACCGTGACATGCAGGGAATTGCAAACAAGTTCCATGTCCAAGGCAGACCTTTTTGGTCCAACAGCAAGGCTGCTTTTTTTTTTAACTGGACCGGAGCAATGGAAACTGGTTCAGTTGTACAGAGAAGGGGTGCTTTAAAGGAGACTACACTCAACAAAGCGGCCCTTTCCAGCACGACCAACGTGATCCAGCTTCCCTGTCTGATCACAACCTTAGTTACTGCCTGAAGATCTGGATAGAAGTGATCCACCACTGATTTTTGCCTGCCGTTCTTGCCTCCTTTCCAAGGTATGATATAGCACGCTGTGGAATGAAAGAAAGTAGATTTGTAGTTAAAAGGCCTACAGTTTTTACCCATGATGTATTACATATGGCTGTTGAACAGCACTGTGCTTCACGAGTGTTGCCATACTTCCTCTGTTATCCCTTTTCTCCTGTCTTTCTCTGAGTACAATGCAGCTCTGCCCCCCTGTTATCCTTGAATTCTTATTGATGAGCCTCCTGTATGAAACATCAGATCGAGGGTTTGCTTTACAATCAACACTTCTGTTTATTTTTTTAAAAAAGAGGCAACAGATGTGTTGTTCTGTTAGTTTTCATTGAGTGATGATAATCGTAGGAGTTCTGAATTCTAGTTATAATTTTGTCCACTTTTGTTTCCAAGTATTTTAATTTGCAAGTCCCAGTAGTTTCAATAGAAATAACTTATTTTGCCAGTAGAATTTGGCTGCATTCTACACTGCAGATTGTACAACTTACCATTATATTAGAAATACAAAGAACAACCGCCAGATAAAAGGAAACTAAACATTTGCATTTACTGGAACACGTTCTAGGTAATCTCATTTTTCTTCTGGAATGAAAAAAAATACCCTCTATCACTACGTTGTAACTTATATAAAAAGTTATCTCATTTTTCCTACCTATAAAACCACCTGGAATGAAAAAAAATACCCTCTATCACTATGTTGTAACTTACATAAAAAGTTACCTCATTTTTCCTACCTATGAAACCACCTACAGTGGTGCCTCGCATTACGTTAATTCGTTCCAGCGAAATCGCTATAGAACAAAAACGTCATAATGCGAAAATAAAAAACCCATTGAAAGGCATTAAAACCTGTTTAATGCGTTCCAATGGGCTAAAAACTCACCATCCAGCGAAGATCCTCCATAGGGTGGCCATTTTCGGTGGCTGTCTTGAGAGGAATCCATCCCAGAAAACAGCGGGGAGCCATTTTATTTACCCAGTGGCCATTTTGAAACCGCCGATCAGCTGTAGGAAAATCGTTTTGCGAAGAATCAGTTCCTGAAGCAGGGAACCGATATCGCAAAGCAAAAAAAGCCTATTCAGACCATCGTTTTCTGATCGAAAAAATGTTGCTATGCGGTATCGTCATAATGCGGGGCAATCGTAAAGCGGGGCACAACTGTACTCTGCCCTCTGAACTAAAGTGGAAGAAAACGATGGCCTTTGCTCTGTACAGTATATTGAAACACCCTTCCCTGTCCATAAACCACATATGGTTAATACACATATGGTTAATACACAGATCTACATTGTGCAATTTGCTAAGTAAGAAAAATAGTACCTTCATCTGTACTGTTAAGGAAAGTCAGTTCTGGCAATGCTTTATCAATTAGATACTAAATGTTGGTCTTACTAAATACTCTTAGTCATCTCACAGGCCAAAAAGTCTGCCTGGGGAATTCTAGCTGACTTCTAGGACTGGAGGCCTAAGAATTCTAAAAATCCCATCCCTGTCCACTTCCAAGCCTATTGCCACTTCTGTAATCAGAAGATTTATTTTTTTTCTTTCTCCATAAATATACTGCAAAATAGGGATTGGTTATAAGCCCCTTAATTATTGCTGACAACAATATCATGTTTAAAAGTCATTCAATTTGACTAGCATTGGCACTACTTTTTGTAGCAAATTCCATAGTTTTACTATGTGGAATACCTGTTGTAGCAAACAGCGCTGCCCTCACCTGTCTGTCACAGTAGAACAGCGAAGAAGGAGCCAATGAGTGGACAGAAGGCGGAGCCAAGGGGGGGGAAGGAGCTGGATATAAAGGCTGGTGTATGGAGTCTGAGAGAGATTCTGGTAGAGAGAGATGGTGAAACTTAAAAGTGAACTAAGAGTGAGAGATCTGTAACGATGAATGGAACAGAGAGTTAATAGAGTTTTAAAGTTATAGCAAATTTGATTCAAATAGAAGTGATTAGCAGCCTGTGATTTTTCTCTTGAATATTGATCATATATTACCTTTCCTAATCTAATAAATGACTTAAGTTTTAAAAGCACACATGTCTCCATGACTAAATGGTATTAAGGCAGTAATACCTGGTGGCAGCGAAGAAGGAAGAAGAGCGAGAACCTCATGAAGGCCTGAGGGAATAAGGGCTTCAGAGGAGATTGCCACACCTGTCCTAATTCTGTGTTTAGCTTCAGTGGATATACAGGATTCTAGTACAGTGGTGCCTCGAATAGCGAGCGCTTCTATTAACGACGAAACCGAATAGCGATGAGTTTTTGGGAGCTTTTTTCCGCTTTGAATAGCGATGTTTCCTATGGGCGATTTTTGAGTAGCGATGGTTTAAACAGCCCCGTGTGCGCTGCAGGCGAGTAGGTGGGTGGGTGGGCTGGCTGGCCAGCCCCGTGGCCAGCCACAGGCAAACCCCACTTGCCTCGTCTTCCCACTGGACGCAGGCTAAAATCACGCGGGTGGGATGGGGCTGGGCTACCGAGACCGATACTGGGGGGAATCCCCAACCACCAGGCTTCTGAGGTGCTGCCGGCGGCAGGACCAGCCAGCCCCTGCTCGGCGCACTGCCGCTGCTCTCCCCCCTGTCCCACTTGGTGTATGGGCATCCTGGGCGGCAAGCTCACTGGCCAACAGTCCGCATCCTTCCCTGCCTCCAGATAAGCACCAATCGTGCTTGGCTGGCAGCAAGACCAGCCAGCCCCTGCTCAGCGCGCCGCCGCCGCTCTCTCCCCGGCCCACTTGGTGTATGGGTGCCCCTAGCCCTTCCCCACCTCCAGATAAGTGCCGATCGCACTTGGCCAGTGAAGCACGGACCCAAATCAGCCCGCAGGAGAGCGGGAAGGAAGAGGCTGGGAGGTGCCTTGGCTGGTCGGCGGAAGGCGAACCAGCGACGCATCCGGCCCAGCTGCCTCTTCGGGCCGGATCCTGCTTTTCGGGAGCGATCCGCCACGACCCCCTTCCAAGCAACAGGCATTGCAGCTTCCCCAGCACCACCAACTTCCCCCCCTTCTCGGTTTCCCTCCTTTAGATAAAAAAACTCTCCCATTGAGATGCATTGAATAGGTTTCAATGCATTTCAATGGGGGAAACGTGTTTTGAATAGCGATGTTTCCTATGGAGATTTTCCATTAGCGACGGCAATTCGTTCCAATTGGAATGGATTAGCCAGCTTTCAGTGCATTTCAACGGGAAACCGTATTTCTAATAGCGATGAAATCCAATAGCAATGTTTTTTGCAGAACGCATTAACAGCGCTATTCGAGGCACCACTGTATTGTAGGATGGACAGACAGTGTCTAGCAGATCACGTCTCTGTGCCTGTTTATTGACACTTTCAAATAAATGAGTTTTGTGAGATAGGATATATACTATACTATTGATTTTGTTTCCTTTATAACTTGCCTTTCTATATGCTTCACATTTT